CGTTACAGTATAATGCTATTTCCAGCTGCGTAGTAACCTTTCTTAGCTACCCGTTGTAGAGCCCGGCTGCGTAGCGCCTTTCCGGATAAACCTTCATTTTCATCGTTGAATTCAGCTATAGCTATTACAGCCTCTGAACCTAGCTGCTAGCTTCCAAAGCTATCGTCAATTGAGGTCCAGCCTGACCTACCTGACCTACCCGACCGACCCGACCGACCGATACAGGGCTTCCAACATGCCCGACCATTTGACAAGGCCCTCACAGGCCCGACTTAAACTGGGGGGGCAGTATCGGCTCAATCTATCAAGCTTCTTCGAGCCCGGCTGTGACCCGGATATCCGGCCCTGATATCTGACCTTAATATCTGACCCGGTCACACAGCCCGAAGCTTGGTATCGATTGAAGCTGCCCACCTGAACCATTTAATTAAAGCGGCTACCTTCAATAGCTGCCGTCATTGACAGCTAGCATTGATAGCTGCGGGCTGCTGCCGATAGATGCAGACCGCTGCTGTTGATAGCTATCATCGATACAGTAGTAAAATATAAGTGGGGTTTTGGACCGTACAGGGACGGTTCAAAGGGGGTGGTCTTACGGTTTAAACTTTGGTATGGTGTAGAAGGGTGTGAACGGTGTAAAACTAGGTGGCATAGTACTAGCACGGTCTAGAAACAGTTTTTTGGTATAGGATTATCCCGCTAGGTAATATATAATAAGGTGTCTTATAATGGATGTACCGCATGTATTACATAAATGTCTAATATTATTAAAATGAAGGCGTAGTTCGTTTAATTCTTGTAGATGTAATAAAAGTAAGAAATATAAACGGTGGTTAATTGATCTAATACTATAGACGTATAAACTGAATGAAATTACGTTTAGAAAACGGTAAGGCGGCGTATAATAGAATGTGGGTTCGGTTCGTGTTATTACTATCTATTTGCGCCTATTAAAAAACGGAAATATAAAAGGACTTAACGTTAAAGAGACAAGTAAACGCGATCTATTAGGTATTTACTTACATATAAAAGCAAAACTAGAAACTATAATAAAACTTAGAATCATTTAAACGATTAAGAAAATGGATCTATTCCTTATAATATGCCGTATTAATTGATTAACTATATCGTGTTCGTGGTTAGGAAGATAATAGTAGGTTTATGTAATAAGATAGAATAAGAAATAAGGGTAAAGTAAAAGGGGAAAAAATAAAAAAATTAAAGAAATAAAGTGCAATTAATTAACTATATTAATGGTAAGGTTAGTTAATGTTAAAAACTAGGATAAAACTTCGCTATTTAGCAACTAGTAGTAGGGCTAGGAGTTAGGGAATACGAGACGAATTTACTAACTAGACAGCGAGTTAGGGTTTTAATCTTAGTATTATTATCTGGTTTATTAAAAGCTTTAGTATTTATACTTTCTAGGTTAAAGGGACGGTTAAACATGCTTATACTAAGCGGTTAATAACTTTTAAGGCTCTAAGCAAGTTACATTTAACTAAGTTAAGACGTGATTATACTTGTGCTATTAAAGGGAGATCCACGTAAACGGAATAACCCTCTAGTACTAGTATTAGGAAATAGGGATCTAGCGGTTAAGGATATAGATATAGAGTACTAGAATAAATCTAGGCTAAGGTTAGGACTAGAATTAAAGCTACGAGAACTAGATAGGCTAGGAGGTAGAGGAGGCGGTAGCGGTTCGGGCTATTAATATGTAATATTAGAGTTAACTTATATATCGTGTAATAATAAAGCTTTAAATAATGTATTTACTTATAATAAAGAAAGTCCTACGAGTAAATATAATTGTATTTAAATTAGCCGAGAAATCGTAGTTTATATATGCATATATTAACGCGGGTGACATGTGGCTTGTTACCCTTTGCTCGGAATTACCTGTACCCACTGTAGCTATCGTTGAAAGCTAGCAGCCGCCATTGATAGCTGCTACTGTTGATAGCTGCCGCTATTAATAGCTGTTACGAATAATAGCTGCGGGCTGTTGCCGATAGATGCAGACCGCCGCTGTTGATAGCTGCCGTCATTGATAGCTAGCATTGATAGCTGTTGCTGTTGATAGCTACTACGAATGATAGCTGCTGCTACTAACAGCTCTATCTAGCTGAATTATTTAATTATAGCTCTTATAAGCCGACTTAAATTAAGGGGGCGATATTAACCTAATCTATTAAGCTTCTTTAAGCCCGGCTGTAACCCTAATATCCGACCTTAATATCTGACCCGACCGCCTGACCCGGCTACACAGCTTAAAGCTTAATATCGATTGGAGCCGCCTACCTGAACCATTTGATCAAAGATGCTAGCGGCCTTTAAATGCTAGCAACCTTCCAATGCTAGCTGCCTTTAAATGCTAGCGATGTTAGCTGCTTTTAGATGCTAGTAACCCTTTTTCCTTCTATACCTAGATTTTTTTTTTAACTACTTTAGGCCTCTTTTTTAGGCTATTAGTTTTAAATTTACCGGTTAGCTTAGGTAAGCTCGTTAAATTCGTAGGGGGGCGTTATATAAAGAAATTTAACCGTATATTATAGCGAGAAATTTAACCGTATATTACAGCTTAATCTAGCTACTAACGTAGCCTTTAATTACGTGCTACGAATACGTAATATATTACGTGCTATATAATTATATAACTAGCTTTCTAAAGCCTTTCTAGAAAAATAAAACCTAAATTTTCTTAGCTCTTATAGCTATTATATTTGCTTTTTTAATTATTTTATTATAGTTATAATTTCTTCTAAAATTATTTTATTATTTTTTATATAAATATATATATTTAAGAGGTAAGTTAAGTATTAAAAAAATACCTAAATTTTAAGGTTTTTAAATCATTTATATTATAAAATTATTTTATATATTAATTATACCGGGGCCGGGCTAGACTTAACTCACCTCCGGGTAGGGATAATTACGAACCTAGCAATTAAAACAAGTAGCAGTACTAGATCCTATAGGAGTTAGCGGAGCCGGGCCGAAGCTAGGGTATAGAAACGATCTTACTAGAGATAGTATAACAGAGATAAGCTTAGCTCTTCTCTACGCTAGTAGTAACTTAAGCTATATAAGGTAAATATAGGATTTAGCGTTAAGCGCTAACTTATATAAATATTAGTATAACGCTAGGCTAAAGTAAAAGAAAGGTACTTATAATAATCTTTTACTTAATCTTTTACTTTACCTTATATATATAGCTAATAAAAGTTACGCTATAATAATTTTAAGGTTCTTTTTATTTTAAAGTAATCTATTAATAGATTATTATAATATAGCTTAAGTAACTCTTAATATATTATGTGAAGGAATTCGGTCGCACATTGCAGCGAGGAATTTAACCGTACATTGCAGCTTAATTTAGCTAGTAACGTGGCCTTTAGTCACGTGCACACGTGATATGTCACGTGCTACACAATTATATAATTAGCTTTTTAGAGCCTTCCTAGAAAAATAGAACCTTAACCTTCTTAGCCCTCGTAGCTATTATGTTTACTAATATTTTAACTGATATTTTAACTAATATTTTAGCCGATATTTTGACCGATATCTTGTGTGTGGTTTTTCCCTGCACAAAAATGGTGGTTTCGCCCGGGCGTTCATCTCACGATATGTGATATCGTGAGAGGCCTCCCAGAGGCACCAACCCTTCAATCATGACCCTGGATATCGAGACCAACCTGACCTTTTCAGCTACCCGTTGCAGGCCCGGCTGCGTAGCGCCTTTTCGAGAGAATTATATACGCTCTTTTTATAAGTGCGCTTATTATTAGGGTTATTTACTCGTAGTTAAGGGTTTACCCTTATTTAATTATACGTACGTAATTTGTACCCGTAATAAGTGACCTATTCTAACAAAAATCAAGCCGTAATGAGAACAGACCTTGAACAGACGGAGGATATGGTGTCTTGTCACCATTTCACTGAAAGCCACGATTTTATCGTCCCAGAACCATGACGCAGCCGTCAAATGATAGACGAGCTCCCTTTCGCCGCCCGGTTATTTCATATTTCCAACTCCGCTCTACAAGCCCCTGAACCGAGATTTGACTCAGCCACCGTATTTAGCTTCTCTCATTATAAGGCGCGGCTTGCTCGACAACAGCACGATGGTTTGGCACAGCATTGACAAAATAAGAGACTCATGATTTCCTACATCAAGAGTAGATATTGTACTACTGCTACCTGCAAGCAAGCACAAGCATAACAATTGTTATATGTCTTGAACGACCTAATCGTGGCAAATACATTCCCTAGCACAAAAAGCAACGCCTTTGCATTCGCATTCCAGTACACTCTCCTGGTATATGGATATTTGGCAAGGCGCTTAACAGGCCGCGGAAATTGGACACAATCTGGTCACAGGGGCGGCAAGTTAGAAGATACTTTAACTTGCCATGGCCCAACTGGTCCCTGCGTAATTGGCTCTCCACATTCCGCATTAGGTCCGTAAACTCTGGTTCGGAACATTTATCCAGAGCATTAAGGATAATAATGATAGGTCCTAACTAGGGGTCTTTTATAGCATGTCGTAGTATCTTTCAGAGCGATTCTGTAGTGTTAATTAAACCCTGCCTATCCTTTCGGAATTGGGGCAAGGCATGTTTAATTAAGGACGGCTTCTAAGAGAACAGCTAATAAAGTAATGCGTAAAGCGCTTGCCGGACGCTGTTCTGGTCTTAGTCTTTAAAGAAGAAATAATAGATTGTTATTAATTGTAGCAAGTAGTGGTCGATCAGGTACTTGGCTAACACGGACTTTCTACAGCTAGGATCCGCTGTGACTAGCAGAGGCCTAGAATCCTGTTTTAACCACATCTAAAAGCGCTTGTGCTTTAAGAACCACAAGCACGTATCTTTAACCCTTTCCTTTACTCTGTCTTTATACCACTTGTATGTGGCATCCCTAGTACTAGTTGTGAGGCGGAACAGCTGGTAACAATTTTATTCTTTCGTGGATAGCCTCTCCTTAGCGAAATGCTCTTAGGCTTTAAGCTGCTCCTTCGTAATAACTAGCTGCTTCTTTACGAATTTATAAATGCCTGTATATAGGGTTAACACGTATTAATAGTATAATTATAAGACCTTAGAATTACCGGATAGAATATCGCCGATTTTCTTCTTAGCCACAACGCTCTCTAGCGGAATTCTGCATAGAAGATCCTTCGCATATGCAGCCGCCGCTATAGCCGTATAGCCCTGCCACTGCTTATTCTTGTGGGAATCCGCGTAGTCGCATATACCGCGAATTACCAAGCATGGAAATTGGTCTATTAACCTAGCTGCTTCCATTTTAAAACAAAGAATATCCTTCTTAGCTATAAGTTTATCGCGAATTACAGAGTCTTTCATTAACTAGTTCGCCGAGGTAATCTAGCCGTAATAAATAGTCGGGTTATCGTTATATTTAGTCTGCTTACGTCGTGGTATTAACTTTAATACATTATCGCTATAATAGACTATATAGTGTGTAGCGGTATTTATGCTTACAAGTTAAAGGAAGTTAAATAGTGTATTTAATTATAGCTACGTTATTAATATAAGAGGATAAGCACACGTATAAGTCTTTAATTTAATAAGTTTTACCTTTATAATAAAGTTTATAAAATCTTTTATTAATATTTTATTAAGTTATTTAATTAGCTTTATATAAGCTTATACTATATAATTAAATTATTTAAGTTATTTAATTACTTATTAACACTTATAATAAGCTATAGCTTATAATATATATAATTAAAATTACTAGTATTTTAAAAGCATTTAATTACTTCTTTTAAATTAATTTATTACTTATTTAAGAACCTTATTATTCTTAAAAAGTAAGTTACGGGAATTAAAAAGTAACTAGATCGCGATACCACGTATAGAGTTATAAGTGTGTATATGTGTTGCGTTTAGGCTAATAAAATATATTTCTTATAACTTAAATATTTAATATTTTATACTTAAGTTATAAGGTAATACTATAAATATTATTATTTTATAAGATATTTATATATAAATAATAGAAATTTCTAGTTTTATTATATTTAATATATTCTACTTATAATAATAATATAAAAATAATACTTATTTACTTAATATAATTCCCTTATAATTCCCTTTTATTTTATTTTT